TTTAGAGGGAGGGGTGGGCACCCAGCGAGACAAAGGATTCCCGCCTTGTGCCAAAGCTATAAAAGGGGTGGAACAGAAGAAAGGGGGCTGCCAGTCATGAGGAATCCCCTAGTTACACCTGAGCTGGAAGTAACGAGGGCTGTACCAGGGAAAGGATTGGGCCCAGACTAGGAAGGAGTCTAGTCTGTGAAAGAAGCTTATTGGAACATCTCTGAGGGTGAGATTTACCTGTATTCAGTTTCTTAATGTATTAGGCTTAGACTTGCGTGTTTTGTTTTATTTTGCTTGGTAACTTACTTTGTTCTGTCTGTTATTACTTGAAACCACTTAAATCCTACTTCTTATACTTAATAAAATCACTTTTGTTCATTAATTAACCCAGAGTAAGTGATGAATACCTGGGGGAGCAAACAGCTGTGCCTATCTCTCTATCAGTGCTATAGACGGCGGACATTTATGGGTTTACCCCGTATAAGCTTTATACAGAGTTAAATGGATTTATATGGTGGTTGGATCCCATTGGGAACTGGGTGTCTGGGTGCTGAAGACAGGAGCACTTCTTAAGCTGTTTTCAGTTAAGTCTGCAGCTTTCGGGGCGTGGTTCAGACCCTGGGTCTGTGTTTGCAGCAGGTTAGCTCAACAAGGCAGGGTTCTGGACACCCAAACTGGCAGAGAAAAAGGGCTCGGGTAACAGTCCCAAGGGGGGTCTCTGTGAACGAACCCGTCACACTGCTGTCAGGTTGGGAGCTGTTTATGGGGGAAATTCTCTGAGGCAGGGGTGTTTGGGAGCAGGGGGGTTTGTGCCGGTGTCTCAGCACCCCATGGGGAAACCACTTGTCCCCCGGGGAGATTCTCTTCCCTGCATGGCTGGATCCAGGCTCCTGGGGGTGCAGAGAGACGGTGCGTTAGAGGGGCCCATGCTGCCCTGGGCCCAGCCCCTGGGGGGAGCAAGGGGCACAGAAGGGGGGCCACCTCACCTAGGGTGCCCCCCTTGGGCGGCTGTAATAGGCCTCAGCCAGGATCAGCCCCAGGACGAGCAGGACCGCAGCACCCAGCCCCAGGCGGGCGACGTTGGCGTTGGTGAAATCCAGGGGGTCTGCTGTGGGGGGAAGGGAAGAGTCACTTGGTGGCTCGGACGGGGAGATCAGCAGCTGGTGCTGCTCTGGAGTGGAGCCCCCACCCCCGATCCGGCCTAGCCCCCTTCTGGGGTCTCCCAGATGCTGTGGCTCTGGGGCCTCCCTGGGGCCGGACTCCTCAGGGGAGGCTGCATCCTGCTGCCCCGGTGGCTGAACCTCAGTTTCCCCGGTGAAGGGGGCTCCCAGGTGGACAAACTGCCCCCGAGACACCCAGCACCTCAGCACTGGGCCAGGGGATGGGGACAATCAGAGCCTCAGGGTCTTAGCCCCCCGGAACAGGGAACCA